CTGCCGCAACTCGACCTTTGGAGACTTACGCGTCAGCATATAAGTGAATTAACATGCTCTCTCTAAAAAGTTTGAAAGGAAGGCCCGAAGGCAAAAAGAATTTTATGTTCGTTGGTGTTTTTGTTTGTAGAGAATAACTAGTTAATCTCAAGGGATAGATTTTAGCCATGTCTCTACTTATTCGTGAAATTATTCTTTGAGACTTGAACCATGCCCAGCCTTAGGATAAGAGAATAATAAGATCGAGAAGAAACCCGCTTATCATCTCCCAAACTTAGCAAAGATATGATTCTTGTCAGTGAATTTTTATGTATTTTCGAAGTTTGAAAAAAAAGAGTTTTAGTTTTAGATGCGTATGCAAAAGGGAAAGAAAAGTTATAGGGAGACTAGCCTATTTCCAAACCTGATTCTATCACACTTCATATGATCTATGGGAAGAGATAAATGCGAGGAAAAAATAGAAAGAAAATATACCAAACGAATACTAGCCCGTAGAGCAAAGCAGAAAAAGAAAAGATACTTGACGATCTCGTGAGTTGTCACCATCAACAAAGAAAAGAGTTAGAAATTCAGTACTTGAAGTAAGCGTCGAAGTGTCCTAGATACGAAAACAAATCACAATCGAAATTTCAAGCATATCCATGTGTCGCATATTGAACCTGCATACGATTCAAGTCTCAACAAAGCAAAGGTGAGTCATGAATTTCAACTAATCGGATAATTCCCGATTAACTCCTAAGAAATCAAAAAAAGTATTAAAAAAAACTAACAAATTCTTACGGATTTATTTTATATATATATATATATATATATATATATATATATATATATATATATATATATATATATATATATATATATATATATATATATATATATATATATATATATATATATATATATATATATATATATATATATATATATATATATATATATATATATATATATATAGATATATATATATATATATTATAAGGAAGATTAAGATAAGTCTTAACTATAATTAAAATTATAAAAAAAAAAAAGAAATTTTGTCATTATTAATTATAAAAATCAAAGAATTAACAAGATAATAAAGAAAAAGGAAAACGAGGTCGTTTGGGAATTGACAGTCAGACTTCTTCTTCTCTTCTTTCAAACGGCACCGTGTGAATGAACCACCGCCTTTGTTTTACTACGATCGGTGATTATCGCAACTTCACCATTAATCTCCTTCTCCGATGAAACCTCGCACGGTCTCCGTCCCCTCAATATCATCATTTTCGTTCTTACTTCGGTCTCTCTTCTCCTCTAAACCTCCACATCGTTCCCCGATTTTCAACAAACAACAACTCTCCAGAAAAAAGGGAATCCTGCCACACGTTCTACACGGAGGTGATAAAAGGAATGAGCGAAATAGCGAAGGAGATAAGATGACAATGTTTACCTACCGGAGAAGTCCGGTTCTCTTCGGGGATGATGAAGATGAATAGCAATCCGGCAATGCTGGTGTATTCAGGTTTGAATCTCTTAACTCATATGCGTGACCTTTTCCTCTCAATCTTCTTCTTCTATGGATCGACTGTCCTGCATCGTGATCCGTTTGCTGATGCGTGTTGTTGTATGATGCACTGTTGTTTTTTGAGCCGAGCGCGATTTGTTTTGAAATCGTTGAAGATGATGCTGATGATGTACAAAGTTCTTGTAATTTTGATTGAAGTCTTTGAAGAAGATGATGAGAGTTCAGAACTAAAGGAGAGTGATTTTTTAAAGAGTCAAGAACAGTGGAATTTACAGAGAGAGAGATAGGGAAAAAGAGAAAAGTGAATGAATGAAAGGGAGATGAAGATGATAAGAGTTCAGAACTAAATGAGAGTGAATGATGGAGAAGGAAAAAATGTTTTGAAACCGATAAAATGGTGGAGAGAGAGTGGAGTATCGGAACTGAAAAAGTAAGAGTCACCTCCTCCCCTGGAACTTGGAGGGGGTTTGGATTATATAGGTAGTTGAGGGAGATGGAAATGGTTATGTGAGAATCAATCCGAACCATTGATTTGAGTAGAGTTTGTTAGGGATTGAAGGGTGAGATTGAGAGTTTGTTACAAGATGGTTATGTTAATTGGGCATTCTGTTTAGAAAATTATGTTATGTATTGTTAAAACAATTGGATTTTCTGTTGAAGTTTGTTATGGAGGTTGTTGGTAAGTTGTTGGAATTTGGTTATGGGAATTAGTAGTTCAGTTTGCATGTTAATTTTGGAATAGGCCATTTAGAATTATATTTAGAAAATTCTGTTACGTATGTTGGTAGAAGTGATGATGAGGATCGCCTTGCACAGGAACAGCTGCGTCAGCTGAATTGTCTGAAGTGCTTCCATCAAATGAAGGCATGCCCATTGATGACATATCAGGCATGATGTGAAACATCGGATTCAATCCAGTAATTCTTTTGACAGTCTCTTCAGCCATCTTCACCTTTGCTCTCAAAGTTTCAGCATCAGCTTTCAGCATTCTGTTGTCAACAGCAAAATCAGGGTACTTTTGGCTTACATCAGTGAGGTGCTTTTACCAAGGAAGAATTTTCACCTCTTAATTGTGAAACCTGTGTTTTGATCCCATATGTTTTCAGCTGATAATTTTCAAATGCCTCTGTAAGTTCTTTTTTTTCTTTTTACCAGTTCTGGCTTTTTTGAGTATACTCTTACAATCATATCTTGATAAAATGCAGGCAACAAGTGGCTTATGCGCTCATCGGGAATTGTAAATTTCTCATCACTTTCATAATCCTTCTCAAGGGCAGCAAGGTCTTCACGAGCCTCGGAGAATTCACCCTCTTCCATCCCTTCACCAACATACCAATGAACAAAAGCCCTCTTAGCATACATGAGGTCAAATTTGTGGTCGACGCGAGAGAAAACCTCGGGAACACTAGTGGAGTTGGAGATCATGCAGACAACCCTCTGCACCTTGGCAAGATCACCCCCTGGAACAATAGTTGGAGTCTTATAATTTATTCCACACTTGAATCCAGTAGGGCACCAATCGACAAATTGAATAGTGTGCTTGGTCTTGATAGTTGCAACAGCTGCATTAACATCTTTAGGCACCACATCACCTCTGTACATAAGACAGCAAGCCATGTATTTGCCATGGCGCGGATCACACTTGGCCATCATAGGCGATGGCTCGAATGCGCTGTTTGTGATTTCAGCAACGGATAGCTGCTCATGGTATGCTTTTGCAGCTGAAATCACAGGAGCATAAGATGAAAGCATGAAGTGAATCCTGGGATATGGCACCAGGTTAGTCTGGAACTCAGTAAAATCAACATTCAAGGAACCATCAAATCACAATGAAGCAGTTAGTGATGATATCACCTGAGACACTAAATGATTGAGGTTAGTGTAGGTGGGTCGCTCAATGTCAAGAGATCGCCTGCAAATATCATATATGGCTTCATTGTCAAGCAAGACAGCGACATCAATGTGTTCGAGAAGGGAATGAGTGGAGAGGACATTATTGTATGGCTCAACAACAGAGGTTGAAACCTGAGGAGAAGGGTAAACAGTGAATCCAAGCTTGGATTTCTTGCCATAGTCCACTGAAAGACGTTCTAGTAGAAGGGAACCAAGACCAGAACCAGTGCCTCTGCCTACAGCATTGAAAACCAAAAAGCCTTGGAGACCAGTACAATTGTCTGCAAGCTTTTTGATGCGGTCCAAGCATACATCAACAATTTCTTTTCCAATGGTGTAGTGTCCACGAGCAGAGTTGTTAGCTGCATCCTCCTTTCCGCTAATGAGCTGTCCAGGATGGAGTAGTTGGTGGTATGCACCAGTCCTCACTTCATCAATCACAGTTTTACTAGCATTAGCTCGCACCTCCCTGTAAACCAAATTACGGAAGCCAGAGAGCCCAACTTCATTGAGTGGAGGCAGGGAGTGCTGCGCTACAGAGTAGCGATCAAGATAATGGAAGAAGCGTGAAAGCCACCTAACCAACACCTTATGGTTTACCCATCTCTGGACAAGCTCCCTCAGCATGAATTCGTAGCCATTAGTTGTTGTAAATTTATCTTCCACAAGCTTTTTAGTGTGCTTGATCATTTGTCGACCATATCTTGTTACACTTGACGATATCTATAAGCAAGGTAACTGACCAATAGCAGCCCCTGTAAACCCATATACAGAATTTGCACTAATCTTCAGGGCCAACTGTCTGCCATCTAGAACAGCCTTCTCAAGGGGATCCTTGGCCTCCTTTAAGTCTGCTTTTGTTGAGGACTCTGGACTTCCCAATAGGATGCTTTCAAGTTCAGAAAAAGGGTTATCATCTGATCCATCTTCTTGACCACCTACAGGTTCGCTAAGATCCATTATTGGTGCATTTTCTTTTCTTTTTCCTGGTTCACTTATTAGATCGTTGGTGTCAGGAACAGTGATTTGTCCAGCTATATTCGGGTTTCCTTCTGAATTCTTGGTCTCATCAAAATTATCTTTCCAATCATAGTTGCTTTCACCTGGTTTATTATCAGAAGCATTGTCTTCAACATATGATGTTACCGGTAGATGAAATTTAGCTTTAGCTTCAGATTGGCTTCCTTCATTTCCTTTGCTTTTGACGACTTCTGTAGAGTTTTTGACATTCTTCTTGCTACCACTTGCAGCACTGAACTTGGTTTGTAATTTTGAAACTTTCAGGAAAGATGAAACCCGAAGTTTGTCAATAGAATAGAAGTCACTCCAACCTTTTGAAAGCTTTGAGATATTATGTTGTCGGCCTTTTCCAGCACTGCTCTCTTCCCAATTAGAATTTGTCTCTGGTTCAACCATCTCTGAATCTGATTCTTGTATAATGCTTGTGGGACTCTTGTTCCTGGTAGAAAAGCATCAATATTGGTATAGTTGTAGCTGTGAACATCCATGCGAAGTCTTCTGACAGACACATTTTGAAATGCAACGCTCATCATTGTTAAATTGTGACTTTCCATTATATGTTTGAGTGAACGCCCATCCAAATTCAGGCTGTCCCTGAATGAAATATTATTTGGCATTTCCCATCATCTTTGATGCAATAGTTTTTTTTTAAATCTGAAACTGAAACCAGGGACGTGCATTTGCTGGCATTTAATAATTTGATGAGAGAGGGGAGCTCTGGAAGGTACCGAATCTCCCTGCATTCCTCCAATGACAGAATTTCTAGCCCTTGAAGATTCCTGATGCTTTCCGGCAACCTTTTCACGTTGCTTCCATTTAGAATTAGTTCCTGTAATTTTGATAGGACACTGATGTCGTCAGGGAGTTCAAACAAGTTATTACAATCCTTCAAATGTAGTATTTGTAGAGATCGTAGGCCATCAAACAAGACATGTAGCTGTTGTTTCTTAACTTTTAGTCCACTGCCAGAAATCCTAAGCTCCTTAATAGATGTTAGGCTAGGTAACTCCTTTGGAAGATACTCAAGTCTTGAACCCTCAAGATTAAGCCACTTAAGATTGCGAAGAAGCCCAATAGATAGGTCAAGTGTTTGAATCCATGTACTGCTTAAATCCAAGTTTTCAATTAAATCCGAGGAGACGGTAAATTCCTCGAGACTTGTGCAGCCAATGATACTGATCTTTTTTCCAAAAACTTTAAATGTTTTCGGCCTTTAACACTCCTAAGCTTTGTATAACCGTCAAGTATCAGAGTAGTAAGTGTTTCAGCCAAAAGAACAGATGAATGAAGATCCACCAGACTCACACAAATATAATGTTTTGAGGAACTGATAACGAATATGGAAATATGGAAGAAGTATAACCAAGATATCCTTAAAACTACTAATCCACATTGACTTGGATTGTGAGCAAAAACTAACGATGATGAGAACAAGAATGGCCTTGATCAACATGAATCTATGGTACCATTCCTTATGCCATGACCTCATACTTTTCAATTCAACCCCACAAGTCCTTTGTCTTGTCAAAAAATGTCTTTGTGGGATCCTTGAAGAAGATAAAATTTGAAGCTTAGAAGGATATCCTCTAATCATTTCTCATTGACGAACATCAACAAACTCACACACAAAATGCAAAACCTTAACCCGCTTGTATTAGGTGCACAGTGACGACTTGAGACATGGATAAAATAATGTTCAAAATGTCTTCGAAATGAAACAAAGCATGATCTTCCAATAGACAAAGAGAAATAAACCCAAGTCTTCAGACTTAACAAATAAAACCTTGCAACTTGATTTTGAGATGAAGAGGATAACCTCGTAGCTTGATAAAGAATAAATCCACAACAACCATCAATCAAAACCCTAAATTCACAATTCAATGTACCAGAAGAATCAGTCTTGTTTGATAAACACCTCGAACCAGAAGAAAATCCGAGCTTCACAACCAATGATTCTCTGAACCATGATTCAACAAAACCTGAATTAGTTAATTAAAGAGTGGATGAATGCCATGTGAAAGTCATTAAGCCTGATCAAATGATAGGCACACTTATATGAGAAGACGTCTTGATTCGAAGACCATGTATGCTAAGTCACGCACTTGAGTTCTTGACAAGAAAAACCTGTAACATGTTGTTTATCAGAAGATAATAACCTTGTTGCTTGAGGGAGAAGAAGTCAAAAAATGAGAATGAACCAAAACCCTAATTCCACAACTTGCTGCCTGAATAAGAAATCATCCTTTATTGGATACGAGCGCCTTAACCACTGTGAAACCCTAGTATCGCACAACCACTGAACTTTGAACCTTATAGCTATATTGAATGAAATGTATGCCATGTTAGTGACCTAATGAAATAGATGCAGATGAATGCAAAAAGTCTAAGCCAAAATAAAAGAAATTAGGAGGGCAAATTTTGGGGTGCAACACCTCCCTTTCGGGTTTTCAACTTAGCGAGTTGTTCTTTTATTTCTTTAGGCGAAGCATTTCTTGACTGCATCATTATTCATGGGACGTGGGAACTCCTCGCCATCCATAGTTTCAAAAATTAATGCACCGCCAGAGAAGGCTTTCTTGACAACATATGGGCCTTCAAAATTGGGAGTCCACTTGCCCCTAGAATCAGCGTTAAAAGACATGATCTTCCTGAGCACGAGGTCGCCTTCTCCGAATTCACGTGGTTTGACCTTTCGATCAAAAGCTTTCTTCATTCTCTTCTGATATAACTGCCCATGACACAAAGCCGTCATCCTCTTCTCTTCGATCAAATTTAATTGGTCAAACCTGTTCTGGACCCATCCAGCCTCTGACAGCTTGGTTTCCATTATCACATGCAAAGAGGGAATCTAAAACTCGATTGGGAGCACTTCTTCCATTCCATACATAAGGGAGAACGGGGTTTCTCCTGTTGAAGTATGGATAGATGTCTGATATCCATGTAAAGCAAAAGAGAGCATTTCATGCCAATCTTTATAAGTAATAAACATCTTCTGGATGATCTTCTTGATATTCTTATTGGCAGCTTCAACAGCCCAGTTCATCTTCATCTTGTACAGAGATGAGTTGTGATGGACAATCTTGAATTCTTCACAAAGTTCTATCATCATCTTATTGTTCAGATTCGAGCCATTGTCGGTGATAATTCTGCTCGGCGCACCATACCGATATATGAGATTATTCTTAATGAAGTGCACAACCACATGCTTAGTAACATTAGCATATGAAGCAGCTTCCACCCATTTGGTGAAGTAATCAATTGCTACCAAGATAAAATGGTTTCCATTCGAAGCTTTGTGTTCTATCATCCCAATCATGTTAATACCCCACATAGAGAAAGGCCACGGGTAAGAAATAACATTGAGAAGTGTCAGAGGCACATGAATCTTGTCCGTATAAATCTGGAATTTATGGAACTTCTTTGCAAATTTGTAATACTCAGATTCCATTGTCAGCCAATAGTGACTTGCCCTTAGCATCTTTTTAGCCATCGAATGTCCATTGGCATGAGTTCCAAATGAACCTTCATGAATCTCATGCATCAACATGTCTGCTTCGTGTCTATCCACGTATCTGAGCAAGACCATGTCATAATTTCTCTTGTATAACACATTTTCACTGAGGAAGAAACTTCCAGCCAATCTTCTCAATGTCTTTATTTCTTTTTTCGAAGCACCAATCAGGTATTCCTGAGTATGGAGAAAATGCTTGATATCATAATACCAAGGTTTCTCATCTTCTACCTCTTCTGTTGTAAACACATGAGCAGGCCTATCCAGTCGCCGAACTATAATTTGAGGTATATCATTCCGAGTATTCACTTGATACATAGAAGCCAGAATTGCCAGAGCATCTGCCATTTGATTTTCATATCTAAGGATGTGATGGAATTCAAATTTATTAAAGAAGGGTAACAATCTTCTACCATAATCTTTGTACGGGATCAAGCCAGGGTGACGATAATACCACTCTCCTTTAATCTGATTTATTATCAAAGCTGAATCGCCATACACATCTAGAATTTTAATTATGAGATCAATAGCTTCCTCGAGACCTATGATGCAAGCCTCATATTCTGCCATATTATTAGTACAATTAAATGTCAACCTTGCAGTAAAAGGAATGTGTGATCCATGTGGAGTGACAATCACAACACCAATTCCTTTACCATAAGCATTCACAGCTCCATCAATTATCATACTCCAGCGAGATTCAGGATCAGGACCTTCCTCAGGTAAAGATTCATCACAATCTTTCACTTTCATAAACATCACATCCTTATCGGGGAAATCATACATCATAGACTGATAATCATCAACTGGCTGGTGAGTAAGATAATCTGCTAACACGCTGCTTTTAATAGCTTTTTGAGTGCGGTGGTAAATGTCATATTCAGACAACCGCATCTGCCAGCGGGCAATTCTCCCAGTAAGAGCAGGCTTTTCAAAAATGTATTTGATTGTATCCATTTTAGAGATCAACCAAGTAGTGTGATTCAACATATACTGCCACAAACGTTTTTCCGCCCAGGCCATAGCACAACATTTCTTTTCCAACATGGAAAACCGTACCTCACAATCAGTAAAAAATTTACTGAGATAATAAATGGCATAATCTTTCTTCCCCGTTTCATCTTGTTGTCCCAGAATACAACCCATGGAATTATGTAACACTGTCAGATACATAATCAATGGTCTTCCTTCAACCGGAGGGAGCACGATAGGAGGTTCAAGCATATATTCTTTAATACTTTCAAATGTCCTTTGACAGTCATCTGTCCATAAACAACCTTGATCTTTCTTCAACAACTTAAATATCGGTTCACACGTTGCAGTCATGATGGAAATGAATCTGGAAATATAATTCAAACGCTCGAGGAACCCTCTGACTTGCTTTTTAGTTTTCGATGCTGGAATTTCTTGAATTGCTTTGACTTTATCGGGGTCAACTTCAATCCCTCCCTGGATAACAATGAAACCCAACAATTTCCCTGACCAAACACCGAAGGTACATTTATTTAGATTCAAGCGGAGACGATACTTCCTCAAATGCTGAAACAACTTCAATAAATATTCTACATGCCCTTCTTGAGTTTGGGATTTAGCAATCATGTCATCAACATATACCTCAATTTCCTTGTGCATCAGATCATGGAATAGGGTCGTCATAGCCCTCTGGTATGTTGCACCAGCGTTCTTTAACCCGAAGGGCATCACTCTGTAAAAGAATGTTCCCCAGTGTGTGATAAACATTGTTTTTTCCATGTCCTCAGGCGCCATCCTTATTTGATTATACCCGGAAAATCTATCCATGAAGGAGAAAACTTTTAATTTTGATGTGATATCCACTAACATATCAATGTGTGGTAATGGAAAGTCATCTTTTGGACTAGCTTTATTTAGATCTCTGTAATCTATGCACATGCGAACTTTTCTGTCTTTCTTCGGTACTGGGACAATATTATCAATCCACTGAGGCTACACTGATGTCAGAAGAAAACCGACATTAATCTGCTTTAGAACTTCCTCTTTGATCTTCACTGTCATATTTGGGTGAGTTCTTCGCAACTTCTATTTGATTGGCGGACACTCTGGCTTCAGCGACAAACGGTGCTCTATAATATATGTACCTAGACCAGGCATATCTTGGTAAGACCAAGAAAAAATATCCACGTACTCTTTCAACATCTCAATCAACCTGCTCTTCACATCAAAATGCAGTAATGCTCCAATCTTGACTTCCTTCGGATCTTCTTCTTAACCCAAATTGATTACTTCCAATGGCTCTTTATATGGCTGAATGGCATTCTCCTCGTGCTCAAGCAACCGTGAGACCTATTCTGAAATCTCATCATAGTCTTCTTCTTCGGCCCCATACACATGACATTCAAAGTTGGGAGAGGGTGCAGGGTCATTGTATTCAACGGGTTTTTTAATTAATCTGCACATATGATTTATGATTTCTTTTAGAAACTGACACATATAACAAGTGATCATGCAGATTTGATTTCAATTATCATTTATTTCGAAAGGTTTTTTTATTACCATTTTCCAAGGAAAAAGAAAAAAATGAAGACACGATTTTGGAAACAAAGACAACTTTTATTATTGATTTTTAAAAATCCAAGCAAACAGATAAGCCCATACAATATTAATACTTTCACCTTGGGCAGAGTGAAAGCTTTGCAAAAAGATTAACACAAACAAATTACTTTGAAACATGTATGCAAGAGAGAACATCAATGGTGATCCAGTTCTGAACCCTAACTCTGTGCATCACATAATTTGGCATTTCTGGCTCTGCTTCATATTCCACTATGGCATTAATCCCAAAAACAGTTGGATGAAGATAACCCCCGCTACGAAAGATATCTTGATACTTGCCTGCAGCAGACTTCAGCTTCATGCTCTTACCTTTATCATTCTTCACAGAGAACCCCAAGCCAGCTCTATTCTTGTTTACAAGTGGATCAAAAATATGTCTCCATACTTCACTATGGCCATTACGCACAACCTGCTACGCATCCTTAAACGAAGCCATAGAGTTCTCATTTCCTCTTATGTTATCAATGGATAAAGCTTGGAACTAGGTTCCA